CTCATCCAGAAGTGGGACGGACACACCACCCTCCTCAGTTCATGTGGTTGTATCACTGCTGCTATCTTGTGCAGAAATAATGCAGCTATGGCAGTATCAGTTTAAATCAAAGTGTTTACAGAGGGCATTTGTAAAAACAAGCTCGCTAGCACCCCTGTTGGATGAGATTTGAGATCCTTTAAGTTAAGTACAGATAAGAGCCCATTACAAATGTCAACTCAGTTAGAGTACTTATTACCAGGAAAATAAAATAAGTATTGCTTGATTAAAAAAAAAAGCCTTTCATTTATATACTTTAATATCATTTTCGTAACCATTTGTCATTTAACTGTTATCTGTTGAAGTGGATCCAAGGGTATAGGTTTATTATCAATGATTTTTTTGGTTAATTAATCTACTGAGGTTTATATATTTTTATTTTCTGCTTGTTAAAATTCAAATACAATGAAACATATCTAAACAATGGTCCAAAAATCCTCTGAATTATTTTATTTTCAGTATTATTCATTTTACCAGAAGATCTGAATTCCCCCATTTTGAGAGACTGACTGATATTATTGCATGAAAAATTCAACAACTTATCAGGATACCAATTTAAAAAAAGAAGAGGATTCAGCTTTGATTTAACTTTCTGTGAAGTTCTATCAACAGTTATTATCGGGTTTTACAAGAGCCTTTTTAAACATCCCTAGATGTTATCCCTGTCAGATTGGAGGAGAAAAAACAAATTACTCAATAAATCTACTTAAGAATGGTACCTGTACTGTACACACCTGAGATGTGTACAGTACTTGAGCTGTACTTGTCATGTCATGCTGTTGGAAGAAATGAAACTCATTATGATTACACTGTATGGAATTTTTATTAATAGAGATTTAGAAACAAGACAAATGTCACATTGTGTGCAGTCAAATGGCGACTCTGTTATTGATGGTGGTGTTACTTCTTTGGTGTGAGGATCAATTCCAGTTGGGTCTAAAGAGGAAAACAAAATAAGAATATTAACATCATAACCACATCTACTACAGGAACAAGTGCAGGGGGAAGATATATTTCTGTGGTATGAAGCCTTAAAACATCACCTTGAGCTGCAGGTTGGTTCTCTCGAGGAGCTGGATCTGTTCCACATGATTCTTTTCTTCAGTCTGTCGCCTTTCAGTTTCTCGTTTTTCAATGGCATCACGCTGAGACTTGAGTTCGTTCAGTTGCTTCTTCAGCTCCAGTTTCTCATTGTCAAGATCAGAAATCTAGGTGTTTGAAGTTTATTAAAATGCAGGATCAGTGATGTTAAGACCAAACATTATTTTAGAGGAATGCTGCCCTCTGCTGGATACTAAACTGAATAGCATTCAATAGTTATTCCTTCAGTGGCAAATACTGTATATTCCTCATCGATGGATGCCAATATTGGCAAACATTCCACATTTGTATGCTATCTATTGTTGCTAAACACAACAAAAAAAGTGAATGCCCTTACTTTTTTCTCCATGTCAACCTTTCCCTGCTCTGACTGAAGGGCTTTCCTCATACCAAAGGCCACACCGCTTTCATACACAGTCTGGTAGACATAAATAGTCATTTGAATCTCATCTCTGACCCGCGAGAGCAGCAGGCCCCTCTCAGCACACTTGATGGTCACCTGTCTGATGAGCTCATCTTAAAGAAACAGAAAATGAGTAAATGCAACAGGAACATATTTGAGGAGTAAAATGTGCTTTTAGTGGTATACAAAATGCTTCAGAAGAAAGCTGTATGGCAATGAAATTTAAGCTATGTGTACACAAAAAAACTGGTTCAAATTCTTGTCCTTTGATCCTCAATCATTGTCAACACAATAGCCTCAGTGATCACAAATATCAGCGCCTCCTTCTCACCAAAGCACTGAGAGTAGAGCTCCCTGCGGACAGGGCAGATTCCTGTCTGTCTGGCCTGCCTTTGTTGCAGCTTTGTGTCCAGCAGCTCCTCCAGGTGAATAACATCTGTTCTTGTAGAAGGTGCACTGGACACTTGCTGCACCCACAGCCGGGTCCCGTCAGTCCATTCCCTACAATAACAGAAGTTTAGATAAACTGAGTGGATTGAATTTAATGAATGACACACTGTAGATGGATGCAACTGTACCTGGGTGGAAGGATGGTGTTTAGGATCTCCTCATGTTCCTGCTTGTTGGTGTCAGTAGAGGTAGGTTTTGATTTTGGAGGTGGTGGCACAGGGGTAGACTGTCCCCTCACCTGCTGTGGACTCACTTTTAAAGGGCGGCCCTGTTGTGAAAAGTATTTCATGTTACACAATGAATCAACTTTCTTTGCCTGAAATACATGATACAGTATATTCATCATCATTTAATAACTTTAAAAAGCTTTGGGGATTAAAAGATGTTGGTAAAAAACAACAACATAGAAACAGCAGCCATTATAGCAGGAATATCTTAACATATTATTATCTTAATAATAACTTTGACCACTAAACGTCGGTTAAACTCGGCTGGTGTTACTAAACTTACCTTTGGTGATTTTCTGTCAGTGCTTTTGCTGATCAAAACTGGATTGTCGTATCTGAGGAGAGATTCTGCTGGTGGCTTCATCTTTTTGAATCTGATAATTTGAACAAAATAAAAGCAGAAACTCCTGGTTGGTCTGTAATTCAGGTGCAGGGATATCGCTGCTGTTTCGAAGGATGCTATTCTTTTGCTTACTTTTTTGTGTTGTCATAGCAACAGCGTCCCAGGGTCCCTCTTCAGTTTGACCGTCTGAATCAGTGGGTTAGATTAATATTTAGTAAGTGGTTTTGTATCTTTTTGTATTTATTTTTTTTGACAATGCGCCACACATGCTTGTCGGCTCATTTTTCGAGTATTATGTTGCATCGTTTATTTTTTTTGGTATAATAATATATATTTTTTAAAAGCACTACAAAAGACGACAGCTAATGGCAATACGAATGTTCGCTTTTTTATTATTATATAGCCTAATATTCTTAAACGTTTGTTAAAAAAATAAAAATAAAATAAAAATAAAAAGGTGATGGTTTCACTTTTCTTACTTGTAGCCTGGTGGTCTATATTGCTTTTATTTCAATCCCAACCTTGTGGTGATTAGGATTATTTCACCGGTAAGAAGGCACAGGGGAAAGGTTTTTAGATGCGCTTTTTGTAGTCCATTTTTGGAACATTGTAGTTTCAACACGGCGGACCCACGTCTTCTTCTGTGGAGTCTAATTTGGAATCCGTAGTTGATGCATTGCCGCCACCTATTGGACATTATTATCTTTACTCAGTGCAAAAAATAAATAAATAAACACAGTCTGCACAAAGTGTTCCCTTTCAAATCCTTCACCATGAAACAACCCAGACACACTTGTCTGAGTTCACGTCAGTCCTTCTCTTAGATTGTTATCCAGCTCCTCTTCAGTGATGTCCACAATGTCCAAAAATAGTTTTGCAGCATCCAATAATGTTTCATTCTTTCTAATTTTCCTCAAATGTCAGCTGCGCACTTCATCACAGGTGAGATAAAGACTAGAAAGCTTTCTTTTTTCTATTATTGGTTTCAGGTTTTCTCTGCTCTTCTGCTCTTTGCACAAAGCAGTTTTTATTTTATTCTAGTTTGCCTTCCTTAATCGCTCTGAACATCTCGCTGCTCCTGTTAAATGTCAACCTTTACAGTGAAGACATGATGCATTTTCTTTTTTTTAATCTTACAGTCATCATGACGGTTATTATTTCAATTTTGACACATGTCTGTGTTCCTCTGCAAACAGCAGCTACTAACAACGGCCTTACCTTGTAACACACATAGTCCATGAACACTCTTTCAGGTAACTCTCCTCCAAAAGACAAACACACCTATTTACTGCCTTCCTTCTCACCCTCTTTAAACCTTGTCATTCTTTTTTTCTTCCCAAACTATCAACATCCAAAAAGCTTATGCTAATGCCTCCCTCCATGAAAATGTGACCTCTCCCTCCGTCCTCCCCTGTTTTCTACCTGTTTAATGTCGAGGACTTCCTTTTTTGTTGCCGTGGTATCTGTGGTGGAATTTCTGTAGTTATTTCGATTATAATGTACAGATGTTAGGTTAGGTTTATTCACTGTTCTCTAATGTCAGTCAGACCTGACAGAGTTCAGTTGTTATTAGAACACCAAGTACAGCTTGGAGAGTGTCAGCTGTTCTGTTCTGATATCTGCTATCAGGATGTTTGGTAGACTTGTTGTCTGCTCCAGTGCTATTGACGTCACAGGTTAGTCTAGGTGGGTCAATGTGACCCTGATAATGGTAATGTCTTTTAGGATACATGCGATGCCTTTCAAAAAGTTCTGCACATGTGATTGAGCAAGACACGAGAACAGAAGTGTGATGTTGAATCCTGTCTCCTCATGAGTATTCTTCTTATGTCTAAACTTTCATCACCGTAAGCCATCTGAGTCAACTGAGTCTTATTGTGTGGAGTTAAGTCTTAATAATTTCCACACAGCTCATATGGGTTCATTTTTTTTCTAGAATCATATTGTGGTGTCGTAACAACACTAAAAAAGAAGACCCTTCTTAAAGTAGGAAGCAGCTTGACTGTGATTATATTGTAGTTGTGCACGACCTCGGCCAGATGACGTAATCGTCAAGATTTTAGATCCTAAATATCGAACATGTTTGAAATAAAACGGGGCGTCCCCGACTATCGCAGAGCAGATCGGGGACGTTAAGATTGGAGCTTTATACCACTCACACTACAAGATAATCTGAGCAGATAATCAGTTCTGAGCAGCCATGAGTCAGGAGCCACCCTGGGATTGTCAGGAAGGAAGAATCGGACCTAAAATTCTCCAGCAGTGTGAGCCAGGCTTTACAGAATGTTTAATATCAGATTTATATTTCTTTGAACATTTCAGATCTTTTATTATAAAATAACATGTATGCAGATTACTGATCGGACACGACAATTGAGGACTTGACACACACACAGATTTTTTCTCCATAAACATTTATTTCAAATAGATTTAGAAAAAATAGATTTTTTTTTTTTTTACAACTTTTTCCTTTATATGACTTTTTATACAGTACTTTATGTGCATTTAGAAAAACTGACAAACAAACAGCAGTTAATGAGGCAGCAGAGAGCAGACAGCTCTGACAGGCAGCACGGACCAAAACCACAAAGGATGCTGGGATATATGGAGAAGTGCAGTGAATCAAAGAACAAAACCAATCTAAACCGGATCAGACCAGGTGTAAACTGGATCAGACTGGTTCTAACCTCAGAATAAAATATGAACACAAAGTTTGTTTTTAGGTTTTTCTTTTTATAAAAGTGCAAATAAAAATGTCCGAGTGAGACATCAGAACTGATAGTAACAGAAAGGGGTTTGTTCTGGATCAAAGAGAAAACACACACAAACACTCTCAAGCTGATTTACATTCAGAGAGTTAAACACACACACACACACACACACACACACACACACACACACACACACACACACAGGTAGACAGACCAGTGTACAGGTGGAGATTTCAGTAACTATGGGAACTCAAGTCGAACACATGCGAGCACAGAACTTTGGCAACACGTCAGGCTGAAGGTTGAGTGGCGACTGGAAAATACAGCAGACATCTTGTTGATGATGTCACAGTGCGGAGTGAGGCAGGGATAGGGGGCGGAGCCTGGCGGGGTCAGATGGCGTGTTTCTGGATCCCCGGGATGAACTCCTTGGCATTTGGGTTCAGATTGCTGTTCACCTGATGGAGAAAAGGACCATGAGGCATCGCTTTGTGGCAACAATAACAACTATTTTTATTTATTAAAATATGAATGACTTTATTTGTTTTCACATCATTTAAAGCTCTTTTCAGTATTTGTTGTTGTTGTTGCTACTGGTGATACCTCGGACCGGATGTAGGGTTCTACTGTTTCCAGAATTTTAACGTGATAGTATTCTAGTCAAACATCAAACAATATCAATACCTGTTTTGATACCATGGCAACAAAAGTCCTACGCACCCAATATAGGGAACCTTTGTGTTTTTATCAAAAACTGCTGCTCACTGTCCAAATTGTAAAAAAGTGTGCTGAAGTGCAATTTAGACAGTGTGTAGGATTTTATTGTATGGAAACGAAAAAGTATCTAAGTTCATTACATTTCCTCAGAACTCACCACAATTGCGAAGTCTGCGTCAGCATGCACATCTCCGTCCAGGACGAGCAGGCTGATCTGGTCCTGCAGCTGGCTGACGGTCTGACCGGGGAGGTCTCTGGACGGGATGAACCACTCCCACTGCTCCTCCTCCTCCAGCAGCTCCTGTACGCAGCGCTCGATAAACTCCTCCTCCCACAGCTCCTCCTCCACCTGCAACAACACGCACGCACCCCGCGGACACACACACACGCTCTAAGAACAGGACTGAAGACATATCTGTAAAATGATTCTGAAAAAATCATTGTCTGTTTGAGCGCCATGCGAGTCACAGATTTCAATGTAAAAAGTCGATTTAATAAAACATCCAGGCTCTGTGCGGTTATAATGATGCATTCATGTGCTGACCTGGTCTCTGCCTGACACGCTCACCTGTCTGTGTAAAAGATGATGCAGTCTCAGTTTAATGATAGAATCACAAACTTCAAAAGCTTTTCGTTAGTGAAAAGTTGCCAAAGTTTTTGTTACTCTGGTCTATTTGTGTTAAAGTGTTGAAACATGTCTCCGTATTAGAGTTGTCATGATACCAGAATTTACCCTTTGATAGGATAGTAGAAGTCAAACGATATCGATACCTGTTTGATACCATGGAAACAAAAATAGACAGCAACCAATACTGGGTCATTTCTTGTTTTTAATGATAAAACACAGACTTCAGGTTGCTTACAATGAGTGTTTTAGGATCTTACTTAAAAAGCCAAGGTGGAGTAGTGCAAGTGAGCTATTTGTGAATGCAGGAGTTAACACCTTACAAGCTTTATTGAGGAACCTTATGTACAGATTTATCGGTCGCTTGAATGACTCAAAGAATGTAATTACAATGCTGCTGTCGAACCCAAGTTATAGTGCAGTACGCTACCTATCATACCTTTGGAGACAGTGGTATAAGTGCCTTTTATAAGAGGCGGGAATGTTTTTATTTTAATGTATATGTGTGTTGTCTATTTTTTGTATCGTATGTCTTTTAAAATGGACCTTGAGTCTAATAATAAAAGTTGATGATGATGATGAAACATGAAAAGCAAACTCTAAAATAAACATGTAATATCCATAATATCTATTTATTTTTGTTTTTGTTATGTTTTTTCGTGTCAAAAATATAAACGTTTGCCAGTAACAAGTTTTTTGTTTTGTTTTGAACTTTAACAAAGCCGCCAAAGTTTTGTCTAAAATGCATTGGCAACGTTTTGAGTTTCAGAACAATTTCTGATGGATTCATTACTCTTATTGTCAAATGAAATAGTTGTATTTTTTTTTTTTAAAAGCTTTGTTACTTTTAGATACCATTAAAGGCTTTATATGCGATTTTTTGATCCAACAGATGTCGCCCTTGAGCACCAGCATGAAACCAAATAGTAATCTTTATTATGCTCGTATCTTCACACTGCATGTAAATTTACCTGAAATAAGCGTGATCTAGAAACACAGTTAAGCAGTGAGTACAGTATGTTATTCCTCTTTTCTCTAGTCCCTCAATTAAACAACTTTTATACACGAGGGGAGGAGTCAGCCAGCCGTCCTGACGACATAAACAAACTGAAGATAGGACTCTGAAAACATCACAGACAATGGGACTCGGGTGTTACACCCATTGTAGACAGTCATGACTCACAGAGTTATTTTCAGAGGATATACTTGATTTATATTACATTTAAGTAAAAAAATCGCATCTAAAGCCTTTAAAAAAAGATTAAAAGAGGCTTAGAAAAGCTCCATAAACTTAACATCGCCTACGTTTGATTTTAATAATGAAATGAGCAAACATGAAATGAAAATAGTATGGTTTCAAAATCTACCCTTCTGTGTGTTGTGAAACAGTTTCACCTTTCCCTCAGGTGTTGCTGTGGGCGGGGCTCTCACCTGTCTGTTGAACTCCTCCTCGTTCTCCATCCACATGTACTCAGCGAACGGGTCTTCCTCGGAGATGAACTGGTTGCTGAGGATGACCTCGTTGCTGATGCTCATGTTGTTGCCGTTGTTGAGACTCGGGTCCTTCATGGCTCTCCTGGATCACAGAAGTCACGCCTTCTTCAACACTGCAGAGCACACAGGGGACACAGTTAACCTCCAGACAGCAACACAGAGGACAGATTTAACCCTCACACAGCCGAGCAGTTGCTCCGTTATGTCAGGGTCGCTGTTATGGCCGCTGTCTGCTTTTGCTCAGGACTGGAGCTGTTCTCTTTCCCCATTCCCACAGTGAACACAGCGGAATAACTCACTAACATCCACAGAGAAACGTCAATTAAACATATTAAAATAACGTAAGAACACACAACGCTGAGTTTTTACATCTAAAATACCTGAAAACCCGATTTCCCCGACAGCACAGGACACAACGGTCAACTCTGTGTCGAACTCTTGTGAAACTGTAATGGCCGCGCTGCCCCTGTTTGTTTACATCTTTGACGTCACTCCGTGCTCGCTTGTGATTGGGTAGAACGACCTGCTGCCTTCAAGTGATGCATAACTTCATTAAACTAAACGGTACTTGAAAATCGGAAAAATGGGCTCTCATTCACGTGTATAGATGATGCTACATGTAAATAGTTAGAAGAACATATTGACTGGCTTTTCTTTTACCAGATTTCTGTGCTTCAATCTATACCAAAAGACAATTATTTCAAAGTGTCTGAAATTACTGTAGTGCAAAAATACCCAGGGCTGTGTTATGAAGAATGCAAATGGAAAGACAGGGAGAAAGTTCATATATTGTCAAAAAATTACAGTTTTTCTAATCTTATACTGTGTTATACTAATACCTTTACATAATCAGGTAGGCGAATGTAACAAAACGCATTGTTTTGTCAAATGTGTCAGCCGAGATCTTTTTTATGGTCTCGTAATTTTGAAACATAATACCAAGGTTGTTTTTAATTTAATTTTATATTCTTTACCAAAAATAGATGCATACATATCGTCTCCCTGGACTTTTTACCAAACTTGGGCATGGATCTTCCGGATGTCCCGTGAAGGCAGCAATGTAGTCTTTTAGAAGACTGGATACCTACCCGTCTCTCTTTTATTTTGACTAAATTCATTGCAGCTCAATGAAAAGACTATATAAATAGCAGACTTTTTCTAACAGTTAAGCACACATACACAATTTAAAAAAAACTATTAAGAAGATGAGAGAACAGCGAGAACACGAATCGTCATTTGTTTCATTCACGTCTCGTTGAAGTAAACTAAACATCGCGATACTTCAGCCGACCGTGAGGAACAGTGTGGAGCTCGCTGCGGTAGCTTCAAGCTACGCAGTGCCAAAAACTGTGGTAAGACTGTGTGTTTTTTTGCAAACATACGTGTTAGTTATTATTTGTAGTTGATAGATTAAAATAAAACAGTTTTCACTCAGTCGTATTTGAAAGTTGTGATTGAATTCAAGTCCTTACGACGTTGTTATTAGTGTTAGTGTGAACAGTCGTGTTAGTAAAGCTGGCCTCTACTAGCATGACTAGACCTGCAGGACTATGTCTTAATATGGACTTTATATTATAATTAGCCAATGCATAACTCATTTATAGTGGTTTTGCATGACCATATATATACATGTTGTCTGAGTTTACAAAATTAGGAGTAATATTATCATACCATAGCTGGAGTCACAGTGCAGGTCCAGTGTGTCTGCTTCCCTTCATTTAAAACCTGTAGTTCAAGTTTGCACACAACTGAGTTTTCATGCATTCACCTACTCGATAGTGTTTCCCTGTGTATATAATCATGCTTGAGCTGTGTTATGAATGCTACAAGTCAGGTTGAGTTTTGGTCCAGTTTTGTCTCTTCTTTCAAAATAATTGGACACTCATTTAAGTCATTCTTGTTGTGATCAGACTTTTATATTCACATAGAGGCTTAACTGATTATGCACATCTCTCTTTGACTATTTCCTACGGTTCTCAGAGGGTTATTCTTATTCTTGTCCAGATCAGTTCATTTCCTCCCTCCTTGTCTTGAGGTGAATTGTGAGACTGCAGGGCTTTCCTATTCTTCTTTAATTACATTTAACCTTTGCTCATCAAAGTGTTTTTCCCTCCGTTTACTGCACAAGCTGCTATGGCTCATTGCCTCGCCACTGTCTGCCGTTGTCTTTAATAGAGGCGGTGTTTGAAGAGTGTCTCTGCCTCCTTGTGTTTCAACAGAAATAAGACGTTCTTCAGAGAGGAGGGGGTTCACCTGCACTTTTACAGAGTTTATTCTTTGCAAACAAGACATGAACTGACATTCACTTCCTCCAACCCTTAAAGAACAATCTTTTTTTTCCCTGCCTGCTTCGATCTTTATCTTGACTCGCCTGCACTGAATCATTTTGAAACCAGTGAGCAGATCCACTTTGTGACGTCATGTCTCAAAAGTCACAGTCAGACGGAGGTCAGAAACACTTTGCCGTGGGTCGGGGGCTCCTGGCCGCCGCAGAGACCTTGAACTTCAGCATGAACGAACAGAGATCCAGCCGGCAGATGGGGGGCATGTCCTCGGGTGTGGGTGGTGGTGGCATGGAGGGCAATGATAGCGGCTCCCAGATGTCCAGGCTTGGCAGCAGCAACCATCTTGGCAGCACCATGAAGCTGTTCGCCAGTTTAGGGCTGTCGCCCTCTGACCTGGATGCTCTCGCTGAAATCCCTGAAGAGGACATCAGCGTTGAGACGCTGCCGCACATCCTCAGGCAGCTCAAGAGCCGCAAGGGACAGGCAGGGGAGCGGAGGGGGCGTCTTCCATGTCTTCCATGTCCTCTGAGGCTGCATATCAAGGAGGAAGAGACAGCTGGGCTGACACACCCATGGGGAGGATAGGGGGTCCTTCTCTGGGTCAGGGTTCAACACGGGCCCAAACCTGTTCAGACTTTGGGTACAGTTCTCTGCAGGACGTCACTCCCAGCCGGGCCTATAGCCTAAACTACAGCAGCAGCAGCAGTGGAGGAGGTGGGAGCAGGGAGAGGCTGTACTCTGAGCTTTCCCACCATGATTCCTACAGCAGCCTTGGCATGGGCCTGTCCTCCTCAGACCCCATCTTTATGTCGAGGAGAATCGGCCCCCCTCCACACAGAAAAGTCCAAGACTTCTTGGGATCCATGCCCCCCCTATTCCCACATGTGTGCTCTCTTTGTGACTTTGACGTTCGTTCCATCATGGTGAGTACCATCCAGCCTCCTTCCTCTCTTCTTCTCGGATTAATACAAAAGTTTCCGGTCAGACGTCTGAGCTCAGGTCACTGACCACTTCAGTCAGCGCCAGATGGTAATCATCCATCATGTTTCCAATGATCGGAGGCTCAGTCGGCATTCTGTAATTTCCTTGTTTTAGTCAACTTACAGCATGTGTCTTGATTTTCTTACCTGAGAAGCTCTGCAGCAGTAAACAGTCAAATTCGGCCTCTGCAGTCATCATCAAAGGTCTTAATGCGGTAGTCTACCCTATAACCACGTTCTTGTCGTTACCCGTCCTCCTTCACGTTGGCTTCCTCCAGCTAGGTAGTTATTCAAGTTATTCAAGTTACACCAGGATCATGTCACAGTAGAATTAAATGTAATTCCTTCCATGATGCGTTTTTCAGAAGAAGATTTTAGTGTCTGTAAGAATCAATGCAGTCTAGTCTGACATGCCCTGGACCAATCAGCAGCTTTTTACACGATGACATCACTTAATGTCTCTTACTTCTTCACCTCAGAATCAGCTGTTAAACCCAGGTGGATCAGCTCGTCCAAACTTTGGTGGCTTTGTTAAAGTTCAAAACAAAAAAAACCTTGTTACTGGCAAACGTTTATATTTTTGACATGAAAAAACATAACAAAAACAAAAATAAATAGATATTATGGATATTACATGTTTATTATATCTTGTTCTGTTTCATGACTATATTTATATTTAATGACTCAGATCTGGTTCAGGGTCTAAACTCAATTAGGACATCTCCAAACCTGGATGTTTAACCAGCCTTAAACGTTTACCTTGACTCTTCCATTGACATAAAATGTTAATGACTGGTGTTTTTCTTATTATCATGATGATAATCTCACCCATAAAGCTGTGCTCTGTGGGATTATAAAAACATATTTCAGAAAGAACAGATTCATGCAGTCATTCATTTAATATTTGTCATTGTTGTTGCAGCCAGTAAACTCACTCACAGAGAAAACAGAAGGCTGTGTTTTGAGCATATATTTCACATGACTCCTCAGTGTTTAAATACTGACTTAAAGACATTCATCTTTAGTGCTTTTGTTGAATAAACCACTCTCAAGCTTTAGGTGAAATATTCCTTTAAAGGTAGGACACGTGGAGCAGAGACGGCTTGTGTTGTAACTCTATTTGAATGAATAGGAGTGGAACCAACACAACGATGGACTTCGACATGCTGAAAACAGACGGCTGCTGCTCAACATGTGAGACACTCAAATGCACGATGACACCGTCAGTATTTAACCGACGCTTGGAGATGTAATGTTTTTTTTTTCTCCAGGTATCCAGAGTGGGACCCTGGTATGTCGTCAGGCAGAGGGTAAGACTCACTCACTGACCTCGTCCATGGTTGCAGCTCTACTGATATCTGACTTATCTCGTGTCTTTGTTTCAGTGGGGGTCTTCTGGATACCCCCAACCTGTCGTCGGGGCTGCTGGGACCTGCCCCCATGTCTTCCGCTCAGACAGCAGGAGGGATGTCCTCCAGCTGGGGTAAGACACAAGGATGATATTATTGTTTCTGTGCAGGGAATGAACTGATCTGACTCCTCTGCAGGATGTACAAAACAGTGTTGTTAACATTGAGTGTGTTGTTCGTGTGCGTCAGGAGGAGGTGGAGGTCCTGGTCTGTCAGGAAAGAACCAGCCGATACAGAATAAGGTCAGTTTGTGCTTTTCTTTCATTAACACAACTTACTGACGTTATTAAACAAAAGGTGGTGGGGGGGCTTTTTGTCCTCTCCCTCAAATTAGTTAATCCATCTCCCCAAATAATTCATATTCCTTTAAATTACAGATTATAAAAGTAATCCATGCACCTCAGTAAATAAAATCTGCATCCGTTTTCAAGTATCTGGTTTGCATTTAAAGATTTAAAATAGCTAATTTAGGGCAACAATTTGAATCAACAGCAGAGGAGACCTCGAGTTGATTCATGTTTTGTCAGTTGAAACTCTGCACAAAATACTCACGCAATGAAACACAGACACACTGATGGTTTTCAAGTTATGTAAGGTGGAGTGTTATGGGTCATTTGTGAAGTGTGCATAATGTGAGGTGGGTGTGTTCAAAGGTCTTTTGAACACACGTTGGTTCATGTCTCTGTGTCTCCTGCTGAACCACACGGTAGTAAAATATATATATATATATATATATAAATATATGTAACAATGCAGTAATCAGACTGAAGATGGATGTGTTCTGTGGTCAGCTGAGGAGCAGGGTGGTGGTGGTGAAGTACGACAGGAAGCCGCTCAGCACCAAGACTCTGTTCGCCTTCACTGAGCCTTTTGGCGTCCTGAGGGAGCACCTGGTGCTGAAGAATAAGGTGAGCCTGATGTCTGAACAACATCATCCAGGAAAGTTCATCAATACTTTCATACTCATTGATACCATGTGTTTTAAAACGACATGAAATTTAAGATGGTATCAAAAACCACAGAAGCTTTAGAAAATACATCTGTTTCATAACACAGAATAAGTGCATCAAAAATTGCAATTTTTGTTAATTAAAAATGATAAATGTCCCAATATTAGATGCCCAGGACTTCTGTTTTTGTTGTCGTGGTATCAAGCAGGTGTTGATATCGTTTGATACTTATTAGAAATATATTTTTAAAATTCTGGTGTCCTGTTCTGGGCTCTCTGTATCTTTTCTTCTGTGTTCATCAGTCACAGCATCTCATTAAAGTAAATGTACCTGTGTGTCTCCATCAGGCCTTCTTTGAGATGAACAGCCACGAGGAGGCTCTGGACATGGTCAACTACTATGAGCAGCATCCAGCGTCTCTGTACGGCAAACCGCTCACCTTTTACCTGTCCAAGAGGCTGCTGGTCATCGAGGTAACAACGCTCCTCTTCATCACACTAATGAAAATAGTCAAACCTTGACTAAAACACATATCAAACCTATCCTTAACTGAAATGTTTCCTGTTTTTGACCCTCAGAAAGACGAGTGGGCAGCAGACAGGCCGTCTGACCGACCTGTCAGAGACGTCAAAGGTTACGGCAGCCAGGTGGTTTTCTTCTCCAACCTGCCCAGAGAGGAGGAGAAGAAGATGGAGCTGCTGACCATCGCTGCACGTTTCGGCACCGTGGAGAAACACCTGTTCTTAACCGACCAGGTAAGCTATCGATTTTAGACTCTGTCTACATCAGGGATGTGATTCATCCGGATTTTCCCTCCTGAAAAATTAACCCAAGAGACTTAAATAATCTCAGACAGTGTTTCCTATGAATATACTGGGCAGGTTTCCCAGGTATATCTGCAGCCACCTACGTATTGTTATCTGTTTTTGAATTTGTATTTATTTTTTGTCTGTATAAGATCGCTATCTAAAATAGATTAACTAGCAGACACTCTTCCCTCGCTCTCTGCCTCTTGAGTTTGTGTTGCGAGTAGCATTTGTATATTCTGCAGGTGATCGAAGAGAGACAGAGAGAGAGAGAGAGAGAGAGAGAGAGAAATGTCCAATGTTACTCCTTTGATGTTAACAAACCTTTCTAAAAAAACCGTTCGGTTGTTTTTTTTCAACTGGATGTTGCCGATATTATTCTGAGTTTTTCTGTCTTTAGCCTACATAAAAAACCTCTGCACACAAAGCTCACATGTGGAAATACCAGAATCCCGAATTGTACGACCCCTCTATTAATTAAATGAAGAAACCAGTGAAACTCAAATAAGGTCATTTCTTTAAAAAAATAATCACATTCTGAATTATATTACATTTTTCATATTGTTTATCATTCTTAGAAGTGCATAACCAAAACAAATGAAAAATCTAGTTATGTTATATGTATTAACTATACATATGTATTTATGTGTAAAACCACAGCTTTAGACATTTATGCAGGGGTGCATATGACTTATGTAGGGGCGGCATGAAATTTGTCATCAGTGATTTACCTTTACTGTCCCCACTGGTGTGCTAACAGCATCCTGTCAGTGAATCAAAACATTTTCCTGATCCGTGCAAGTCTTCTTATTGTGTCTCTGTTTATGTGTGAGCAGGCGTTTGTCCAGCTCGGGACCCCCGAGGATGCAGAGATGCTGGTCAAATATTACAGCCTGAACCCGCTCACCATCAAAGGACGACCCATCCGCCTCAACATCTGCACCAAGTACAAGACACTCAAGTGAGTACACTTGTAGTAAACTGGACAGGGTATACCTGAGAAAGGGTCTGTGAGTGTATTGTTTTTAGCTGGGAATCCTGAGGTAAAAGATTGTGTCGCCCACCCAACTTCTGGTGAACATGTAGGCAGACTAACGATCCGCTCTAACTCTGAGTTTTGTTTCTGTCAGTGTGAACAGGAGACAGGGAGGCGCTGCAGGAGACAGTCGAGGCCAGAGGAGCAGCAGAGCAAACACAAACTCCTCCTCCTCTGCCACTGGAACCAGAACCTCCTCCAGCTCCCTCAGGACCTCCTCCTCATCCAAGTCGTCCTCCAGCTCCAGGAGCAGAGAAGAGAAGAAGAAGGAACAGGAGAAGGAGGAGGAGGAGAACAAAGTGAAGCCTGCTGAGAAGCCTGCCACAGAGGAGGAGGAGGAGGAAGAAGAGGTGTCAGGAGTGATGGAAGGGGAGGAGGAAGGCGGGGAAGTGGGAGAGGAGCAGTTAACCGATGGAGACGTAGAGGGAGAGGAGCCAGAGAGAGCAGAGACTGTGGAGAAAACAGTGGAGGAGTCGGAGGAGGTCAAACAGGTGATGGTAAAAAAAAAAAAACTGAAACGTGTGTTAACAAAAAAAAACTATGAGGAGGGAAATTATTTACACATATCAGGTTATTAATTTACAAGAACACTTGAGTTTAAATGTTAATTCATGTTCTATTGTTTCAATGTATTGATCATAAACTGTTGTCATGACATCGCTGATCAACATGACACTGATCAACATCAGTTTGTAAATCTCTCGCCCTTTTAAGTTTTTTTTTCCAGAAGTTTTCTAAATGTTTCGCTGTATACGCAGCTTCCTGGTGCTGATGATGTCACTTGTGACAAGCCTGGAGATGTGGACGGTGCTGAAGGTGAGGTAGAGCAGGGGGCGGAGCCTGAGGCGCAAACAGAAGCAGCAGAAACTGAAGAACAGGAGAACAAAGAAGAGCAGAGCACAGAACCAGCAGAGAGTTCAGAGATGATGGAGGGATCAGCAGAAGAGGTACGCTTTAATTTAACACTTATCACCTGTACAGGTTTAAAACCTTCTGAGCTCTTTTGGATTATTTCAACAGTTATAACCTTTACCAATGAACGTGTAAGGCCCAAAGCACGGGAACTGGGTCTGGTGTGAGTGCGGCCTCAGTGTGTGGTGTGCTGTTTTAGTCTCATCTTTGCTCTCCACACACTATAGGAACAAAACTGTTTAATCTATCATCATTAGTCCTCGTGTGGGCTCTCATATTTTCAACATCTGTATATTTGTTTTGTTCAGGATGAGGACTTCCTGGAGAACATGGAGGACTTTGTGACGCTGGACGAGCTGGTGGAGGATGACGATGAAGTTCACGGAGAGTCTGACAATATCGGTACCTGGTTTTTACTCCAGAATAAAATGTTTTATACCTCAAATATAAATTGCACTCTTAGGTGTAAAAGTTCATATACTCTCTAATCAACTTCCAAAGTCTATGTATAGCAGCTAATTGTAATTTTCTTTTCTGATGATGTAATCAGTCTGATATTTAAGATGTTTTAAAAGGAGGCTGCTGCAGAGGGAAACTAACAATAATTCTGTTTGTTTGTGTCTCTTCACTGCAGACAACACGAGGAGAGGGGTACGTATTTGAAGTTTACGTTCATGTCTGACATTCTGACATGCTGCAGGGTGTCACAGCAGCAAAAAAACAAAACATTTAATAGATAAGAAATAGACTTAATGAATGGGAGGAGTTATCTCATGTCTGCAGTGGTGATTAGATTTCTTCTTTTTGTTCCTCCAGGGGATGAGAGTGGTCAACATAGTCGGCTTCAGACGAGGTTATAACTTCCTGGAGGAGCTGCTCGGACTCGCTCAACCTTTTGGGAAGCTGGTCAAACACCTGGTGCTGGACCTGAAACCTGAGGTACACCTGACCTCAAACAACACTGTGTGATAGTTGAATCATCAGATCTGGTTCCCTCAGGGGAACACTGATGTGTGATGGCCAGAGGTAAAGCCAGATTTTCTTTATAAATATTGATCAGTCATAGTATTTCAGTCTATTTTTTTATTTGTATTGTGTTTGTCAGGCCACAGGAGTCAGCCCTTGTGTAAGGAAACATTCACATAATACCAACAACAACAACAACAACATTATTAGTTATGATGTTAAAATATCGGACTCAGTATTGTATCGGTGCATATGTGTCGGAATCAGATGGGAACTGAAAAAAAGTGGATCGGTGCATCTCTCCTTTTAAATTTCCTTTTTCTTGATGAACCAGTTTATCTGCTCAGGCAGACAGCTGATGATCTAACACTGTGATATACTTTTTGTTAATATGTCATGTTGAAGTGTCACATGTGTTTCCAGGCGTATCTTCAGTTTGAGACGGAAGAAGAAGCTCGCGCCATGTTTAAGTTTTATAACAGTAACGTGACGGCGTCTGTGTGCGGCCGACCTGTGAGGATCAGCCACTCCATGACCTACCCGACCATCCAGGTAAACATCTCTACTTCACATCCTGTGAAGTCTCAAACTCTGTCTCATGGCCACAGACAATCTTTCAGTGAATATGAAACATTCAGAGTTCAAAGAGAACATGAGTCTGAAAGACTGGTGTTATCTGTGTGGAAGGGAACACTGATTTAGAATTGTAGACAAAGACCGCTATTGTGTAGTTGAAGTCAGCTGCTTCAATTGGTTTGTTTTCAACCTCTGATATACAGTAGGTACGGAAAGTATTCAGACCCCTTTACATTTTTCACTCATTGTTTCATTGCAGCCATTTGCTAAAATCAAAAAAGTTCATTTTATTTCGCATTAATGTACACTCAGTACCCCATCTTGACAGAAAAAAAACAGAAATGTAGACATTTTTGCAAATTTATTAAAAAAGAAAAACTGAAATTATTCAGACCCTTTGCTGTGACACTCATATTTAACTCACATGCTGTCCATTTCTTCTGATCCTCCTTGAGATGGTTCTGCTCCTTCATTGGAGTCCAGCTGTGTTTAATTAAACTGATTGGACTTGATTAGGAAAGGCACACACCTGTTTATATAAGACCTTACAGCTCACAGTGCATGTCAAAGCAAATGAGAATCATGAGGTCAAAGGAACTGCCCAAGGAGCTCAGAGACAGAATTGTGGCAAGGCACAGAGCTGGCCAAGGTTACAAAAGAATTTCTTCAGCACTCAAGGTTCCTAAGAGCACAGTGGCCTCCATAATCCTTAAATGGAAGAAGTTTGGGACGACCAGAACTCTTCCTAGACCTGGCCGTCCAGCCAAACTGAGCAATCGTGGGAGAAGAGCCTTGGTGAGAGAGGTAAAGAAGAACCCAAAGATTCAATTCAATTTATTTTGTATAGCGTTAACTCATAACAAGTGTTATCTCAAGACACTTTACAAAAAGCAGGTAAAATACCTTACTCTTTGTCTGTTAACATTACAAAAGAGCAGGTAAAAAGACCTTACTTATTGCTATATTACAAAGACCCGGCCAATCCATCATGAGCACTTCAGCAAAAGTTACAGTGGTAAGAAAAAACTGCCTTATTAAAAGGCTGAAATCTTCGGCCGGATCATGACAAAACAGCCTTCACAGGCCTAGACTGCGCCGGGGTTCGAAAGGGATAGGGGGAGAGATGGGATAAGATACAGGAAGAGGGATAGGGAGCAAGGGGGTGGGGGGGAGGCAGACCGTCCATCAACAATCCGGTGGGGAGGGGGGGGTTGTTCTGGCAGGCCGTCAACCAACAATCTTGAGGAGCCTAAGAGAGCTCAAGAGCTCTCAGGAAAGTAGGTGGTTAGTGACTGAGATTTACAGATAGATACATGCAGTAATATGATGTACTGTATGTGCACAGAGAGAGAGAGGAGCTCAAGGTGCCAGTTTCCCCGGTAGTCTAAGCCTATAGCAGCATAACTAAGAGCTGGTCTACACCAGCACTAACTATAAGATTTATCAAAAAGGAAAGTTTTAAGTCTATTCTTAAAAATACAGACTGTGTCTGTCTTCCGGACCCTGGCTGGAAGGCGGTTCCAGAGGAGAGGAGCCCGATAACTGAAGGCTTTACCCCCCATAGTCCACTTGGAGACTGTAGGTACCACTAGCAGGCCTGCACTCCGGGACCGCAACGCTCTCGAGGGACAGTACGGCACTAGTAGCTCCTTCAGGTAGGATGGTGCCTGGCCATTTAGCGCTTTGTAGGTGAGAAGAAGGATCTTGAATTCTTTTCTAGACTGTATAGGAAGCCAGTGCAGAGAAGCCAACACAGGAGTGATGTGGTCCCTTTTCCTAGTTCTAGTCAGTACACGAGCTGCAGCATTCTGGACTAGTTGAAGAGTCTTTAGAGATTTGCCATAGCACCCCGACAAAAGAGAGTTACAATAATCCAGTCTGGAGGTAACAAATGCATGAACTAGTTTTTCTGCATCATTCTGCGACAGGATATTCCTGATCTTGGATATTTACGAAGGTGAAAATAGGCTGTTCTTGAAACTTGACTGATGTGAGAGCTAAAAGACATATCTTGATCAAAAAGAACTCCTAGATTCCTAACAGTGGTGCTAGATGCCAGGCTGATGTCACTAAGGACAGTTAAATCACTAGAAAAAGTCTCTCTGAGGTTCTTAGGGCCTAGCACAATAACTTCAGTCTTGTCTGAATTAAGTAGCAAAAAAAGATCACTGTGGCTGAGCTCCAGAGATGCAGTAGGGAGATGGGAGAAAGTTCCACAAAGTCAACTATCACTGCAGCCCTCCACCAGTCGGGGCTTCATGGCAGAGTGGCCCGATGGAAGCCTCTCCTCAGTGCAAGACATATGAAAGCCTGCATAGAGTTTGCCAAAAAACACATGAAGGACTCCCAGACTATGAGAGAAGATTCTCTGGTCTGATGAGACCAAGATTGAACTTTTTGGCTTTCATTCTAAGCGGTATGTGTGGCGAAAACCAGGCACTGCTCATCACCTGCCCAATACAATCCCAACAGTGAAACATGGTGGTGGCAGCATCATGCTATGAGGGTGTTTTTCAGCTGCAGGGACAGGACGACTGGTTGCAATTGAAGGAAAGATGAATGCGGCCAAGTACAGAGATATCCTGGAAGAAAACCTCTTCCAGAGTGCTCAGGACCTCAGACTGGGCCGAAGGCTCACCTTCCAACAAGACAATGACCCTAAGCACACAGCTAAAATAACAAAGGAGTGGCTTCGGAACAACTCTGTGACCATTCTTGACTGGCCCAGCCAGAGCCCTGACCTAAACCCAATTGAGCATCTCTGGAGAGACCTGAAAATGGCTGTCCACCAACGTTCATCATCCAACCTGACAGAACTGCAGAGGATCCCCAAATCCAGGTGTGAAAAACGTGTTGCATCATTCCCAAGAAGACTCATGGCTGTACTAGCTCAAAAGGGTGCTTCTACTCAATACTGAGCAAAGGGTCTGAATACTTATGACCATGTGATATTTCAGTCTTTCTTTTCAATAAATTTGCAAAAATTTCTACATTTCTGTTTTTTTTCTGTCAAGATGGGGTGCTGAGTGTACATTAATGAGAAATAAAATGAACTTTTTTGATTTTAGCAAATGCTGCAATGAAACAAAGAGTGAAAAATGTAAAGGGGTCTGAATACTTTCCGTACCCACTGTATACTTCTGTCCTGAGAAGAAAATAAAGCTTCAAGCTGAATTCAAGTTTTTAAATCAAGGCCAATTGATGAATGTCTCCAGTAGATTTCTTCACCCTGCAGCAGTGAAACAGGCTGTGATGTCTGAAACATCATCCTTGATGGATCAAAGTCTGTCCACTAAGATGTAGTTTTTTATCACTGACAGGCTCAGATTGTTATTCTATTCTGACAACATTACAGAAAGGCTCTCTACAGAGAGAGAGCTTTTTGTTATGATTTTTTTGTTACATCACTCTCTACATTCACACCAGACTTCATGGATAAAAACAGGAGTTCTGCCTCACAGAGCACACGAGTCACTAGTCTATTTCTGTACAGGATAATGGTCTGTGTTAGATCACAACTATTAATTTAAAAAAAAAAAAACAAAGTCACAGGTAGAGCTGTAGAGATACCAGAATTTATTTGCCCTGATAAGATCGTGGTTTTCAATGTATACAAGGCGAATGTATTATTGATTTAGACCTTTAGATGTGTTCAGAAACAGTAAGGTTTGATTTTGAAGCTCAGCAGGAAAATGAAAAATGTCTACGTTGACTTTCCTCCGTAGTGTTGGTTCAATATGCTGTAATCTTTTAAACTAAACAGACTTCATGATCAAAGACTGCATAGACAGAGTTACCCATGAGAAGAAAACCAGGATCAGTTTTTGATAGATTAGATTTAGTTTGGGATTGTCATTGTTTTAGTAGAGCGGTTTATGATTTAAAAAGAACAATGACAAAGAAAAGAGTGACATCCTTTTCTTCTCATGTTTAGTTTTTGAACGAGCTGATGTTCTGTTGAAGTGAAACTAACTTCTATTTAAAACAAAGCTTGTGTCCTTCTCTCCTTTTTGTTGTTCAGTGCGGCTCCAGTAAGGTGGTGTACATCGGTCAGATCCCCAGCAGTAAATACTCGGACGAGTCCATCCTCACCCTAGCCGAGCCGTACGGAAAAGTCAAGAAGTATTTCCTGAACCGGATCAAGAAGGAGGTACAGAACCAGCACAGAGTCTTTAGAGCTGCTGGAGATCAGATTAACACCGACGCTCTGACCTTTGTTCTGTCCTCAGTGCTTCATTGAGATGGAGGAAGTGGAGGATGCTGAGAAGATGGCCGAAGACTGCAAAGCAAACCCGCTGAAGTTCAACGGGAAACGTCTGACGGTCTACGTCAGCAGGAAGTACAGACATCTCAAATACGGGTCAGTCTCTTTTTCAATCAATCAAACTTTATTTAAAAGCTACGTGCTTTGCATGGAGCAGAAAAGTGGAATGTTAGAGAAGTGATTTAAAGAGTCCATATTCTGTCCTTTTTGGGGTTCGTATATTTAATGTAGCTACTTTTGTACGTTCACAATAGCTAAAGTCATAAAAAAGTGTCTGTTTTCATGTACTGCTCCTCCTTGCTCCCTCTCCGCTCTGAGTCCATCAGCTACACTCTGCTGAGCCCACACTGTTAGACCCCACGTGGGCCAAGTCTGCTCTGATTGGTCTGCCGATCCGCTCTGTCCTTATTGGTCAGCTGCTCAGCACGCTTTTCGGAAATTTCAACATGAGCTGCAGGGCTTGCCACAACGAGCCAATGGGCTCAGATCAGAGATCTCACACTGACAATGACGCCGCACTGACACATTTTTATCGAGGGGGGCTAGAACCGAGCGTTACATGCAGCTAATGCTACAGCTAACAGGAGGACGTAGGAGAAGACGTGTTGAATTTTTGCACATAGATGTTCCTAAACATGCACAGGACACTTGGAAAACACTAAAGAGCTGATAAAAGCATAACATGGGACCTTTAATGACTAATGCACACCAATAAATAATGATAGACGGGTGCCAGTGGGCCTGGCAGTTATTTAGCGGCCCCCATGTAATGAGGCTGTAGTCCTCATTGCAGCGGCTGTGGCTTTCAATAAATAAACTTAAACTAACCATAGAATTATAAAGTACGACTTAAAAGCCAGACTGAAAAGAGGAAGTTTTAGATTGTTTAAAAAAACCTGAATATTCTCAAACCGTCTTAGATCCTCTGGTTGGCTCTTCCAATCACTCGGAGCGTTCTGTGTAAAATGCTTCAAAACTAAATTTCACTAAAAGTTACCATATAGACTGTTAAATCCATTATTTTAAAGAAACAAAACAAATAACAAATGAAGATCAGAAATGTACTGAATTTGATGTCCTGTGTTCTTGGTTCTATTTGTTGGAATTTATATTTGTAAGACAAAAAATCTGAATGTGTAAACAGTTTAAATATCCTCTACAGAGCCTCTAAAGACCTGAGTCTTTTAATCTCCTTTCTTACTGACCTTTTTATACAGCTTTAACACATTTTTATTGAATCGGTTTTAGGCATCGATTCTCCAGCACACAGAAGAGAGAAAGCAGCAGCCCACCTCCAAAATCGTCCAAACATTCGGAAGAACCTCCCGCTAAGAAACTGAAACCGACAGAGGAGGAGAAGGAGAAGAGGGTGGAGGAGGAGCCAGAGGAGAGGAGAGAGGAGGAGACACCAGGCCCTGATGTCAATGAAAAGACAGAGGAGACGATTCCAGATGCTTCTGATCAGAACCAGAAGAACAGTCAGGATGTAGAAAGTGTCCTCATTAAGGTCAGTGTTGAATTGAAGGAGATCCGAGCTCTGTTTGTGTCTGATGTTGTGATTTCTTCCTCTATAAATGTTTTTGATATGTTTTTATAGGTGTGAGCATCACGGAGTCATGGAAGTGCCTTAAAGCAGAATCAAATAATAGAATGATCAAATATGGAAGTCTGAATAAAAACAAATACAATCTTTGTTAATGTAATGATCAATAGTGTCACAACTTTAAAAAGAAAAAGAACTTCAGATCTTCAGTCACATTTTGAACCAAAAGAAAACTGCAGAGGAGCCTCTAATCAGACTTATCATTATCAAAACATGCAGCCACACGAGGCTAGTCGAAGGGACTGGGTCGTAAACGGGGATCAGCTTTCATTTGAAGTTTGACACTATTTTTTTTTTTTCACCATTTTTATATAATTATCTCTCTGTAAAGCTGTCAATCAATTGGATGGGACTTCTTCTGCAAGCTAAAATGATAAAAAGTTAAAGTGTAAAAATAATTAGATTCAATGTTATCTTTATTTCATTTATAAAAGCTGCTGTGCTTCTGCTTCTCAACCATCAATCCACTTCAGTTATATAATGAATGACATTTCATAACAGCCAGAAAGCTCAACGTTAGACATTATCCTCAACAAAGTGGAGCTCAGACTGAAAGGATTCCTGAATATAAATCATGAAGTGTGTGCTCTTGTGTCGCAGGAGGAGGAGGAGATATCCACCAATCAGAACAGAGACACTGAGACTCCCCTGCAGAGCACGCCGTCTCTGCTGCTGCCACTGACATCGGTGTGTTTAATATTAAAACTTATCATAAAATGATTGGACTAAACTGTTGATCTGCTGGCGACGGGAAATAAAGTTCACCCTCTGAGCCACATTTCATCACAATCATCCAACAGTTGACATATTTCAGTCTGAACATAGACCTTTGTTCTCTATCAGGTGAAACAGGAGGAAAACATGGAGACATCATCGACCAATCAGAACGGACAGGCCGAGGCTGCCCCGCCCCCTCAAACCAAACCCAGCGTGGCTTCTCTGCCGCTGCCCCCCCACGACCCCGACGCTCCAATAGGTGAGAAAACAGAACAAAGTTTTTAATTCAGATGTTAAAATGATTCTATAATTATTTATATGTAATTAGAAACATGACAAATATATTTCTGCATTATTTAGAATGATAAAAAAACAAATGGGTGGGACTTTTCAAGCTCGCAGTCTTGACAGCGTTTCTCATTTCTGACTCACATGGATGTCATAAACAAACTATAAATACAGATGGTTCACTTTGGCTCAGTTTGCAAACATCTTTAGAAAAACATTTTATGACTGAGTGTGTTCTTGTGCAGGTGTTGAACATGTGAAGATGGGTTATTACTGTCGCGTCTGCTTCCTGTTTTACTCCAATGAAGACATGGCCAAAAAGACCCACTGCAGCAGCCAATCACACTACAACAAGCTGCAGGTGAGACGCAGCTCCGCCCACACTGTGTTATACCTGGCCAAACAGAGCTCCACTGTACCTCAGCTGATAGATTCATCTTAGACTCAACGTGGTCTTACACTGAATATTGTTCATGAAGGAGTTCATAGAAACTCAATTAACAGAAGGTGAAGGTCAACACTTCACACACAGCTGTAATCTTTTAGTAAACTGTAGAGGAAGATGTTGATCCTCATGAAGTAATTTAGAGTCAGCTAAAGCGATGATTCAAACACTTGTAGTGTGGGTTTAAGTCCAGTTTTACAACAAATGTTTGTTTTCTGCAAAAATAATTCTTTAAAATGCAGAAAGTGCCAGAAACAGTTTCTGATTTGTTTGTTTCAGAAATATCTGGAGAAGGAACAGACCAAAGCAGAGAAGAAGGTGAAGAAGACGGCCTGAAAAAACACTTAAACCGATTATTTCATTTAAAGATGTCTTTTTTTTCTGTTTGAATTGAGACTGAATGCTGCTCTGACATTTCAGTTCCCTTTGTAAAGTTTGAACAACCTGTTCAACTTTCTGTTGTCTTAGATTTTTGTGGATTTTTACAAAATAAACCAGTTCTTTCAAATTTGTTGTGAATTATTAAACTGTTTATTTACAGTTTTTAAACGAATAATTAATAAGAAGGAACTTATTATTTAAATAACTTAAATATTAACTTCTAGCCTTTACAGAACACGTGGCGCCTCATTTTCCAACATAAAGAAAATAAAAATGACATCAGGTTTTCAAACCGTCCACTCTGCTGCAGGTTCCTCGAGTAATACTGAATCTTCACCAGAACAGTAAAGTTAAACCAACAGATCTGACACGAACAAGTATTCCAATCAACTTTTGGGATAAATAAAGATAAAACCATAAGTTATGTTTTGATTTAAGTTACGTGAAGTTGATTCAGCTCGCCCACGGATCTTTCCCCGTCTTTTCCTGAGGAAGAAAAACAGGTTTAGAATTTGAAGCAGAGAAGAATAGATGGGTGTGATTTTCTATCTCTGATGTACCTGATATTTCCTGTAGTGCTCCAGGCTGCTGCAGTGCTGCTGTTTGGCTTCGTCCTCGTCAGCGTAGATCAGCTGACACAAATTACAGAAATAACCGACGACTGGACGCACAAACTCTGAGCCTGAAACACAAAGAGGGGTCAGTGAAGGCATCACTGCTGCAGCTCCAATCAGAAACAAACTCATGGTGGACAAAATAATGACGATAAGACATTTCCAAAATACACAGGACATAAAGTCTATGTAGTACTGATGCTTGAAACCAGAGTGTGTTCACTGAGTTCCAAACTTAGGAGTGCTGCTTTTCTTACCGACAGGTTTGGTGGGTTTCTGCAGCTCTACAGCGCCCCCTGTAGGTTCAGACTGTGACTCCATGTTGACCTCTGAGTCCTTCAGACCATCAGCATCAGGTTTCTAAAAACAAACACAGATCATTGAGCTGACAGAAAGCACAAACACTTAAGTGTGTGTTTATTTGAACTCATTTTCATCTCTGTCGTGCTAGTTAGTGTTTACTAAAGTTTTGTTCAAAAGCAATGTGTGCTAATGTGTGTGTCTGACTCACATGTAAACTTCCTCTCTCTCCAATAACTGATCATGAAGGTCTGGACTTCAGTCTCAACTCTGCTAGAAATAGGTTTCCTGATACCAGAATTTTTAACGTAAATGATTCAAGTGAAAATTGAACAATAAAGAGCTTTGAAACCATGGCAACAAAAACACAAGTCCCAGATGCCCAATATTGGGTATTTTTTAACTCCTGCACTCTGACTGAATTCCACAAAAACATTGGCTTTGTGGAATTTAGAAGGTGCTCTCTTTCTCTCATGGCAGCTATTGGTTCAAATGTGACTGAAGATACTTGTGATGCTTCATTACTTTTCAATAGTATAAAGGATTAAAATAACAGATGGTATCATTTACAATGTGCTATCAACTAAACCAAACAATTGTACAACCTGTTCAGATTCATGCCCTGTGTTTGAACACAGACGTGTAGACCTGCTGCAGGTTTTCAGCTGTACCTGTTCACATTTCAGTTTTGCAGGATTTCCAGTTGAGCCTGGTGGATGTGGACTCCCAGACTCCTTTAGTCCTGGTTCAGGTGTCTCCTGGATCTCCAGCTCTTCTGACTCGCCCTCCGATTCGTTCTTCTTGCCTTTCTTCTCAGGCACCGAGTCGTTCTCCCGATCTCCCTTTCTCTTGATGGTCTTGTTCTGACTCATTTCAGATCCCGAGTCTTTTTCTGGAGTCTGAATAGAGTCTGAATCAGTGGATTTCTTCTCTTTGGACTCCGTCTCTGGAGTCCTTTTCGAGCTTCTTTCTGACCCGCTTTCTTCAATCTTTGACTCCCTCTCTGAACTCTTTTCATCAGTCGGCTTGTCTGAGGACTCCTCCAAAGATTTTCTGGGCTTAGACTCTTTTTCTGAGGACTTCCTTTTAGATGTTTTTGACTCCTTTTCGTCACTCTTTCTTGACGATGACTCTCTCTCTGGAGTCCTCCTGGAACTTTTTTCTGACGTCTTTTCAGGATAATTTTTTTCAGACCTGTCCGTTTCTGAAGAAGACTTTTTATCAACCCTTTTCTTGTCTGTTTTGGACGCCGACTCATTTTCTTCACTCTTTTTATCATGTGACTCCTTCGCAGAATGTTTGGACGCCGACTCATTTTCTTCACTCTTGTTATCATGTGACTCCTTCGCAGAATGTTTGGACGCCGACTCTTTTTCTTTCGGCTCGTTCTCTGGACTCGTTCTGGAGACCTTTTCTGGATTCTGTTTGGATGCAGACTCTTTTTCTGAAGACCTCTTTCTTGTTGTTCTGGACTCCTTTTCTTCACTCTTTCTGGACGATGACTCTTTCTCTGGAGTCTTTTTGGAGGACTGTTTCCTCCCCTCAGACTTCCTGCTGGGCTCGTCCCTGTCTGCAGGTTTTTTGAGTCTCTCGCTCCTCCTGCTGCCCTGACTCCTGCTCTTATTCTCCTCTTCAGAGTCCAACAGCGACCCCACCGTCCACCTGCATGGACAGAGATAAACCATGAGTGATCTGACAATGAACATTTCAATCAAAATATTATACTTTTCATTATTTTAACTTAAAGTATATACATTAGTGGCAGCATGATGTGCCTCAAGCCACATGATACAATATCATTATTGCACATGCACACACCACAATGGTGATGTTAAAATTAGATATAGTTCAGCCCTAAAACAGAGAGGAGAAGGTGTGAGGCGCTGACCCCTTGCTGAGTCTGGTGTAGTTGCTGGAGATCATGGCGTAGATTCTGCTGCCGTTCACACGGACCGGTTTGTCTTTCAGACCCTTGATGGCTCTCTGAGCCTCTGAGGACGACGACATCTCAATGAAACCCTGAAACACACAAAGAGTCAACATGAAGAATCAAAGAAACAATCCGGGAGCTGGAACCTGGGAAGAGCTAAAGAAGGCTAACATGTGCAGAGAATAAAGAACATGTCCACTGAATGCTTTAAAGTTTTCAGCAGGTGAAGAGTAGAGCTAAGGTGTGTTCAGACGAAAAGGGAAAAAAAATAGTTGCTTTGTGTTGCTTGTGTGACTCTCAGAGGGGTAACATTTGGGCGTGTTCAGAGATTTCAGCTTAATAAACACCATCATTTTTTGAACCATTATACATCAACAAGAGGAGTGCCCATTCATCTGTTACTGGTGAGTGTTACTGGTGAGTGTCGGTTTCAGCAGTAAGATCCCGAAAAGCATGTCTCTGTCATATACCGGTGTGACCAATATACTGATATATTTCACCCCGGTATATAGGACGCAGCCCATGTTTTAGATGGAAAAATAGGTATTAAAAGTGCGTCTCACACAAGTGATTTAACGGTAACCCTGTTGTGAAAAAAAAGGTCAAATAGCTTTTGGTCCAAACCTTTACAGCTTACAGAAGAAAGAGTCAAGATTACTGTATCATTTCCCCAGGGGGAAAATTGAGCATATAGTTGCCCTTCTAATGGCATAAGGGGGAGATAAAAACATAGCAGCAATAGGTATACAATAAGAAATATAAACGAGAAATACAAATCTAAACATCAATATCAAACATAAGATGTATGAATGAGGAATCGTTTTTTACCGAGTGGCGTCCGGGGATCCTGAAAAAGTGTACCGCTGTCCCGTAGCCTCTCACCAGTCGAATGAACTCTACGTCAGAGAAGAAATCCAGCGGAACGTTTTTCAAATAAAGAACTCGGCTGGCAGGAGACTGGAAACATAAAAAGATAATCAATGAATAAAACACGTCTTTGAAACTGAACAGACGCCGTTTGATTAAAAAGAATGTTTCTTCTTACTTCAGATTCATGTCTGACTTCTTCATCTGCAACAAACAAAAAACACAAGATTCAGATCACACAAGTCAAGACAACATGTGGATATGAAGAGTGAATTTTAAGAGCTGGATTATTCATTTAAATGACAACTAAGATTTTTAAAAGCCTTAAACTAAGATGACGCAGGGACTCTCTTAACCCTGTCAGTCATTCTGGGTGTACCTAGATAATCACACTCGTCTTCTTCCAGTTCATCCAGGGTGATGCAGCTGTCGAGGTCGACGGGGAAATCTGACTGTGTCACACAAACACACAGAGGAGAGACAGACGAGACCATTTTAGAGCGTCTCTGAGTTAGAAAGTTACATTTTCAGCTCAGACAGCTGTGCTTGTGAATGCATCACTCAGAGACAGTGTGCACTCTGTAGAGGAGACATCACTCGGACAGTGTGTACTCTGTAGAGGAGACATCACTCGGACAGTGTGTACTCTGTAGAGGAGACATCACTCGGACAGTGTGTACTCTGTAGAGGAGACATCACTCAGAGACAGTGTGCACTCTGTAGAGGAGACATCACTCGGACAGTGTGCACTCTGTAGAGGAGACATCACTCGGACAGTGTGCACTCTGTAGAGGAGACATCACTCGGACAGTGTGCACTCTGTAGAGGAGACATCACTCGGACAGTGTGCACTCTGTAGAGGAGACATCACTCGGACAGTGTGCACTCTGTAGAGGAGACATCACTCGGACAGTGTGCACTCTGTAGAGGAGACATCACTCGGACAGTGTGTACTCTGTAGAGGAGACATCACTCAGAGACAGTGTGCACTCTGTAGAGGAGACATCACTCGGACAGTGTGTACTCTGTAGAGGAGACATCACTCAGAGACAGTGTGCACTCTGTAGAGGAGACATCACTCAGACAGTGTGCACTCTGTAGAGGAGACATCACTCAGACAGTGTGCACTCTGTAGAGGAGACATCACTCAGACAGTGTGCACTCTGTAGAGGAGACAGTGAAGTGAAAGTTAACCTGAAATCATGAAACATGAAACCTTTATTCAACCAGATGACTGTCACTCAGATTACAGGATGTGTTTTTAAGGGAGTTGAGAAGTCAGTAGCAGTCCAGAGTTACCAAAAACATACAAACACCAAGAAAACAGAGATTAAATAAGAATTAGAGCATCTCTCAGAATCCAACACCTTTAAAAAGGACCAGGAAGTAAAGATGTCAGTTAGTAGAAACACACAGGCCTGAAGCAGAACACAAGACAGCAGCCTGTGTCTGAATACTCTTCAGTTTATTTATTTTTCTGTTTTAAAGATGTGTGGAGTTAGTTGGATATTATTCAGGTCTGAGGAGCTTTCTGTCACAACACCAACCAGCACACAGTCTGCACATATGGTATTATATGGTCCAGTACTTCTTGAAAACATGTTGAATGTTTGCCTATTACAATAACTGAAATGAAGAAATGACCCAATAGGAGGACTTGTATTTTGTTGCAGTGATTCCAGTCTGAATTAATGAGACAAAAAAACATCCTCTGTGTCAGCCAATCAGTAAGCTGTAAAGCACATGAAGTTACAATATATAAAATAGAAGGTTTATAGATTGACCACCTATATAGCTCATGAGTATAAATACATGTAGCACTATCGCACGGCTGTACATGTGTGCAAATGTGTTGATGGATCAATACAATAGTAATCATAGAAACCGGAGGTAATCAGCAAAGGACAGAAAAACATTTATAAAATATGTGTTTTGTGTGTCCACCTCATCTTCCTCCGGCTGAGTCTCCATCATCTCCTCAGCTTCTCTCGTGGATTGGGCTTCCTCCGCCTGCTTTAAAAGATTCTCCTCCTCTATTTCATCTTCCTTTAAACAATTCTGCTGCTCCTCTTCCTCCATTTGTTTCTCCTCCTGCTGCTCATGATGATCGCTCTTTTCCTTCTTCTTCTCCTCCTCCTGATCATCTGCCTCTCCATGATTCTCCTCATTCTTCTCTTGATCTATAAAAAAAAGATCACACGTTTCTTTAACAGATATCCGTTTATGATTGTAGGAGCCGCATTTAAGTTTATTGTATTTGCATTTAATTTGTAACTAATTGTGTGTGTACGCCCTCCATAGGCAGAGTGGCACGTCTATCAGGGGGAGTGCAGAGCGCACCTGGGAGGAAGGTGCATACCGTCATTGACCGCAGGCTCAGCAGTCGTGTTTAATTATATGCATTACATGTTTTTTAGATCATTGGAGACACTCCACATACTTTTTGGTTTACTTTTATTTGCAATAAAACTATCAGCAACTTTAAGAATCAACTCTCACTGGATTTATTTTGTATCAAGTCTGCACGTTTGATGAACTGTTCCCGTTTCTTCCAAAGTGGTAAAAACAAGAAAATATTGGCGAGGTTACAGGACAAACCTGATTTTTGAGTTTTTGCTACTTCAATGATAATTTGCGTTTTCTTCTACAGAGACAGGTTAGATTTGATTTCTACCTTCTACAAGTGAGTCTGTTCTCTCTGCAGGACATTCATCTTTCTCAGCCGTTTCCTCCGCCTCCTGCTCTTCATCCTTATGATCTCTCTCTTCCTCCTCCTCCTCTACATCAGCATCATCCAAAGTTTCCATCTCCTCGTCCTGTAGACTCTCTCCATCCTCTCCAATCACCTCCATCCCCTCAATGTCGCTCTCGTCTGCAGACGACCTGCAGACCACACGGTTAAGTAAATACATTTGGATCAATATATTATTATATAACATATATATATTATTAAGTTGTAGGGTTAAAACACCAGAAACTTACTGTGCTTCCTCTTCCATTTGTGGATTTTCTGCAGTTTCAGGATTGGAGTCTTTGAAAGGATCTGGATCAGAGCTGGACTCTGTGGTGACTGTCAAGAGAAAGAGTGGATTCTATTATACTGTTAATGATATAAAAACAGGAAATCAATCCTCAACTTCAATGATAAATAACAGTTTATCAAATGTACCCAGTGCCTTCATGATGGTACAAACGCTCATCATTAAGACTTGTGTCATATTCACTTCAGAATCCTGAGTCAGAGCATGACCCTTTTTCATTTTCTGCTCAGATCAACAACAGAAAAGGAAGTCAGGCCACAAAAGAACTTGATGTTTAGTTTTTTTACGATTTAAATGATCCACTGATTATCTTGATTTATTTTGCCAGCCTTGATGATGGACGATGATTTTCATCTCATTCAGGGAAACAAATGCTGAAGAAGATCAGCACATAAAGTCGTCCCTAACTGTTCGTCACGGCTGTCAAAACATGATCAGCTTATGAGGCAATACAGTCATTTGAAATAATAATCGTTTACTTATTTGTCTTGATTTCTTATTTATTATATGAGGAGATAATCAAGACCACATTTTTTTGGGAGGGTATTTTAGAATCAAGAATCAAAAGTGAAAAATAACTCATTCTCTCATGCTGCAGTTCACTCAGGTTCTGTTTTCTTACCAAAAGCCTCTGTTTCTTCTTTGACTGAATTCTCTCTGAGATCAGACTCAGACCTGGAACTCCTCTCTCTGCTGGATTCTTCTTTGGACTCAGACTTCTTCTCATTGATGTCCTTTTCTTTGGACTTAGACCTGGTTCTAGTCCCCCTGTCTCCTCTAGATTTATCACGAGACCTGGACCGTGTTCTGGATGTTTCCTCTTTGGACTTGGACCTGGTTCCTCCACTTCTCTCTTTATCAGACTTTTCCCTGGACCTAGACCTGTTTCTGGTCCCGCTTTTGTCTCGATCTCTGCTGCTCCTTTTCCTGTCTCTCTCGGTCTTCTTCTCCTCTTTGTCTTTGCTTGAACTCCTCGTCCCCCTGGTTTCCTCTTCGTACCTGTTGGCTGATGGAACCCTCCTGTAGGAGACAGAATGGAGGCGCAAACACAGTCAATAATCTATAAATCAGCATATAGTGATTGATCCTCCATCAGGTGTGACACACTCACATGAGGCTCTTGTATTCTCCGGAGAAGGACACTTTGATGAGGTCATCGTTGATCCTCAGAGAGTTGGAGGAATAATAATCGACCAACTTCTGAGCGTCACTCGTTTCTTTCATCTCTACAAATGACTGAAACAGACAAACAGCCGTGTTATTGAGTGATACTAAAGAATATTACTGCAGTCACTACAACGAGTAAACAACAACGATCATGAGCCTCACTGCAGTTTTCAGAAGATTCTGATTTTCTTATCAGGGATTTGTTCCTAACTGAGAGCAAAATCGACTAACACTTAAGAGTACTTGTACGCACATTTGAGTACGGGCATGCTCGTGCAAAGATATTGGTTAATGTGCGTTTTTGTTGTTGAACATTCATATTAACTGAAATTTATAGATTTATGATTTACAAGATGCCAACTTGTATTTCATTCATGCAATGTTTAGTCACAGGGGTGTTTCATTGACAGATCTGTCACTCGTTCCCTTTTTACAGCAGTAGCTTTTCAATCAATGCACCTTCAAAATGTGCTAATAATTACTGAAAATGACCAGTGTCTCCCTTCAGTTCTCTGAACGAGTGACATCATCTATCAAATGTTTAAAGTTTAGATTTTATATCCATCATAGACTCGATATAACAAAACAAATCAGCGTGTTTGTCTTTCCCTTTCAGCAGCTCCATTTCATAACCACTCACATTTCTCTTACATTCAGGGTTAATTAGCACCTTATTTTTGAAATATCAATTTTCTCATTCTCCATTTCTCTTCGCTTCTCTTCTCAATCCTGTGTGACTCCTGTGTGTGCACATGGCTGCAGTCTCATGCCCTTATATGGACAGCAAAGGTAAAAAAAAAGCTAATTAGAAGCAACAGGCAGGAGATCCCAGTGTAAGAGGCCATGTATGGCTTCATCAATTTAAGAACAGGTGCAATTCATTTGGCCACTTATAAACAAGCTTCAAGAATCTGCTGGAGACTTCTCTCAGAGACCTTCTAAAGAACAAAACTGATCAAACTTTTCTCATTGAAAAGATTGACTTCTGAGCAGTCTCGAAACGTAAGCTGTTGTTTGACATATTTTGAATTCTTAATGACAACCAGGCACAAAGACTTTCAGAATAGTTTCAGGAGCCTGCAGCAGTGGGAGAGGCTGAAATGTTTGCAGTGCAATCCTGTGGCTTAAATGATCTAAACTAGTATGTCAATGGAAAGTTCTCATTTTTTGTCACCGATTAACTCATTGTCATTTCTAGTGTTTAAAAAGACTTGAAGCTTTTCTGTGAACCAGATCTCTGTCTCACTAGTGTGGTGTGTTTGTAGAGAGTGATGTCACAGCTGCGTGGGATTATAAAATCATCTTCCTCTTAAACAAAAAGGTCTTATCTCTGTAAGGATTCATTCCGTTATGTTCTCAGACACTCTCAGACACTTTAACCAGGTTGGTCCCATTCAGATTAAAAAAAAAACTATTTTTCAAGGGAGACCTGGCCAAGACAGGCAGCAGCAAAAACACAAAGTTACAGACAGAAATACAAAGAGAGACAAAGTACAATTTCCAAAGCACAACATTTTTCAGTTCGTCTTACCTTGGAGGGCAGGAACAGGGTGTAAAGCGGTGAGCCAAAGCGTTTAATGATGCTGATCAGGTCTGATTGACCGTCCTCTCCTGTTGGAGGCGGAGTGAAACTGACTACCCGAGAACTCTGTGAGGAGACACAACGCAAGAGATTAGAATTCACAGTTCTCTCCAGCAGAGGGCAGCATAAAGATTTAGGACACACGTCCATATCTTGAAGTCTAACAGCTGAGAAGCTTGATCTAGTTCTGCATGTTCACGTGACGCTAAAGCTCACTTCACAAAACACTAGCTGTGGAACAGAAAATCTCCTGAGTAACCAAAGTCTGTGAAGCAACTGCAAATAACTTTCATAATGTGTTGATTTTAGAGCTTCCTGTGGACAAAAGCAGCACGCCTGGTGTCAGAAAGATTTTAGCGCGTGCATTTGTTTTGTAAGAAAAGTGGAAGAGCGACACAGTAGTACTATTTCTTAAACACAGCTGTTTGCAGGATGCATAGCGATGAGCTAATGAAACTATCTGTGTAGGAATAATACTAATCTGACAACACTGACTGCACATTAACATTACCCATTATGGTATGTCTTCATAATAATGAAAGTAAAGTACAGCTTGTTATTGGCTAACATAAACTAAAGGTTAAGTCAGTACAGACACTTTACATACCTGTCTAAGAAGAAAATACTGGATCGGTTTCCAATCCCTTCAAATCCTGAATCTGTCTTCCTTCTGATGAATGATCGAAAAAATTACCATCTTTTCTTTTTTTTGCCTGTCCTGCATCATTCAGTTCTCTGCTTTTCATTCTAACCTGCCCTGGTGTGTGAGGGCATTTTTGAAGAAACTATCCTTCTACTGCCTTTAAAGTGTTTCACATGTGACTCACTATGAACCTGTAACTAGAAAAATGCTAAACTGAAAATAGTCTGAGTGCTTTAAATCACTTCATCTGAACCTGTGACAGGCTTACAGAACAATTATAGAGAAGAAATGTGACTGGACTCGTATTCACCTTCAGACACTGCAGGCTAAATGTAATCTAGCAGGCTGATCCCTGCGCACACTGCAAACAGGCTGCTCTTAATGTTAATGATGTCCTCTTTTAACTCTGAAGCACGTTGAACTGCTCCATGTATGAATGAACTTCACTTGCTTTGCATTAAGGTGAAGTCATCACACTTTGAACCAATCACAATAATGCTCTCATTGTATACATTTAGCAGACAGTGCATATAAATGTAGAATCTGTAGATGAGAAACAAGATTGTTGTTGGTGTTCAGGTTTTCATTTCTAGACTGAGTATTAACCTCCATTAGCGTTTCTTTGCAGGCATTCGCTGTCCGCAGAAAAATAAACAGTTCAGGTGATCGGAACACATCAGCTGTTAGGAAATATGTGAACCAATCAACTAACGACTGAAGACAATTTTGTAACACACATACTATTGACTAGTGCCCCAAACGACCACACAAGACTGTCCCTTTAATGGGTCACACGTCACAACATTTCAGCAATCATGTTGAAAATGTTGATTTGTATCTTCAATTGTTGGATCTCTACAGTGACAAAGTAGATGAAGTCGAACCCGGGGGTTGTGGGTAAGAAAAGGGATATCATCCCCATAAAATATGTCACCAAACAACATCAAAATCAAACATAGAGTATCTCAGATTGCAGTAAGACCATAAGCATTGACAAACACACGGACAGACGTCTTAGCCTGGCTTTCATTGATCTATAATCTGATTATCTGCTGTCTACACTAGGGCTGGGAATTACCAAAGTTAAAATACGCAATATGTGGCCCAAGATAATGAAATCACAATACAGCCATTCTGCATATTTGATTTAATGCAAGACAATCAAATGTTGATACCTCACCTGACCAAATTAACTGCAGAATGTAAAATGCCACTAACAAGGTAAAGTGCTTCATCCTTTAACTTCTTTTTACTGCAGTCTGACAATTATCCTCTTTCTGACTCGGTTGAGTCTTTAAAAAAACAATTAAAAAGGTTAATGTTTAGACAGGCCTATGGGTAATCAGGTCCACCCAGTGTACCTACTCATCTATGTTTTATTGTTCCTGGTTATAGCAGGATTTTATAATGTTGTCCATGACTTACTCATTTTTTTATTTTTCTTCTTTCATTGTATGTATGCTGTTTTTGTGTTTTTTGTTGATGTAAAGCACTTTGTGACCTTTGTCTGCGAAAAGCGCTATATATATAAACTTTATTATTATTATTATTATTATTTTTATCCTGCTGTCTTCTTCTTCTTCATTTGTCTTAACTTCGTCTTTGGCCACCTAAGTTTCCTTCAGACTACCCTCATTCATGTCATGCACCACCATGAGGAATCATGAGGTACTGACGCAGTGAGCCAGGGAAAATTTGGCAGCAGTGAATCGATAATAGTATCAAATGGGTCAGGACAACGATAGATTGCAATATTGATAATTTAACCTAGTCTACACAATAAGCCCAAAATGGTTAATCATGGAGGACATATTGTCGACAGAGATAAGCCGATGTGTTCTGAGACTGCAGGTTTCATGTCTCTGAAACATCTGAGCCAATCGCAGTGAAAAACAACAACAAACAGATCAACAAACAAACAGAAGCTTCTTCAGGAAGTCATGTGGATGTTAAAGAGCTGCAGGATGTGAACAAAGAAAAGCTGCTGATCGGATGAACATCTACCTGGAGGAAGTTGAAGGTGTGTGAGATTGTGAACTCCATCTGCTGTCTGTTCACAGTGGGAGGATAGTTTCCGTGGAACTTCACCATGTCCTTCGCCTGATCCATGGAGCCCAGCTCAACAAACGCCTGCACAAATAACACAAATATTTTAACACAATCTACAAGAATGATATCAGCATTGTGTATCCAAAGGTGTTCAGACCAAAAGTCAGGATAAATGTAGTGAGATGTAATGAATGTTATAAAGACAACACCATAACAAATATTAAGATTCTCCAAATTGTCAATGCCTTAATCATTCTTCTCTATTTTAATAATCAATGATGGTCATATTTTTTAAACCAAAAGAGAGAAAGCACTGTCTGAGTTGTACAAATACATGTGCAAACGCTGTCAATGTATTTTTGCAACTAGACAGTGTGCAGAAGTTTTATATGCCGTTGTATCCAAACAGGTATCAATATACCGTAGTTAGTAAAATATCACAGTTTTAACATCTGGTATCATGACAAGTCTAAAATATACACTATTAATCTGTTCAGTTTTACATACTCAAATGTTTAAATTTCACTAAAGTGATCAAGAATTGCTGCAAACATGATGAAGTGTTTTAGCATACAGGAGGCGTTTGGAAGATAGATTATAACAGATGTGTGTGATGAACCATGTAGACTCACTAAAGATGGAAAAATAAGGATCTTGACAATTCTTCCGAACGGTTCAGCCAGTTTCTTCAGGTACTTCTCGTCCACAGAATGAGCCGGAAACTTCACACACACCACTTTACTTTTCTCTGAAACCTGACAGGAAACAAAACACAAGACATTTCGTATCTGAGAGTTTGAAGAGGACAGACGAGAAGAGCTCAACTGTCATGTTTGATTTCTTTACCTTTTTTTTATGTTGCTGTGATGAATCTGTTAGAAAAACAACAGGTGTTAGTGGAGCCATGAGCAGGACCATCAAAAGTTGATTATATGGATAGAAAAATATAATGTTTCTTTACTGGAGTTCCGATTGGATGTCTGGGGCTTCTCGCCAGGTTTTCTGTCATCCTTCCACCTCTCTGGTTGGTTGTCGACCCTAAGATATCGGAAAAGATTTGTTTAAAGATGCTGATCTGCCATCTGTGACTCTCATTTAACCTCATTAGTTAACATGTCTTATTAGGAGAAAGCTTTATGATCTCCACAGTGTATCAATTGTTGTTTGTGGTTGTAGTAATGTGTTACACTGACCTGCCCACTGTCTCCAATCGACAGTCCCAATTGGGAAACCTGCAGAAGAATTAGGAAGGATTTAAGAAAAACAAAACAGATAATCAGAAATGAAGAAATCACAACAGTAATCAGACATTTTTTTAAACCTAGTTCTACAATGCTTCATCTGACCACACCAGGAAACAAACCTGTTTCTATGAGTTGTGAACATGAAACTCTTCCACGTAAGCCTGAGTTATGACTGGCCAACATTTGGGTTAAAAAATGTCAATAACGTCTCACTAATAAAGCCCACAGATATATCTATACAAGAAGAATATGTAGTTACTGCGACATCATCAATTGTTTTGTGGACGACTGTCGTGACGCATTTTCACTGTAACTTTCTTGTTTTGTATGAAGAAACGCTGCATTGAAAAGGAGCCAGCTAAGCTAGTTAGGATATCTGACTGAGAAACCTCCTGCTGGTAGGACACCCTGAGGTAGACCCAGAACATACTACTTCTCTCATCTGGCCAGAGAATGCCTCAGGACCCTAACAGGAGCAGCACGGACATGTTGCTGGGGAAAGGGATGTCTTGACTAACTTTTCTGAGCAAATACAACTTTATTTGTCCCTGAAGGGTGATTGGTTTTGCAGCAAGGCATTAAAAGGAAAGAAAAAGACAAAAGACAAAGGTAAGAGGTACTGAATATAGCAGCCTTGAAGAAACAACAGTGATCCTTGACTGATGCTCTTATCAGTAAGTACAGAATACCCCCCAAAAAAACAGTCACATCAGGAGAGAAAAACAAACGTAACTCAGTCTCCATTGTGTTGTCATTACAGTGATGTCATTACAGTGATGTCATACTATGACGTTACCAGGGTTCCCACTCTTTTCCAGAGATCATTTTCCATGACATTTTCAGCGATGATCGAGCTGGTATGACAGTCCGTGATCGTGCCACACCAATATTAAGTGTCTTTAACAAGGCTAACCACACCCACTGTGAGCTACCGCTACAACGGTATGTTGATGTGCTGACCTCAAACTGAGGAGAAATCACAAGTTTACCTGATAGTTGTTGCCACAATTTACTCTCATGGTGTTTTTTTTTTCTCTTCTTGTGAAGGATGTTTTCGCTCCATCCTCTCAACTAAATTGTAAATAAATATCCACTTTTAACACGAGGGTGGAGGCGGAGCCATTACATTATCGAGAGACTTCCATTCAATCTGCGTTGTGGATTATGTAACAAATAGCTACTTTTATTAACGTGTGGCGGTGAAAATGTCCAACCCTGTAGGAGTGTTGGAATAATTTTCCAGGACAACACGTGAAAATAAACTGAGAAACAGTAATTTTCATGACATTTACTTTTTCTCTCATTTTTCAGGTGTTTTCCAGTACTGTAAACTTAGTCATCTGTTTTCCAGTACTGTAAACTTAGTCATCTGTTTTCCAGGACGAGTGGGAACCCTGCGTTACTGTGCTAAATGGTGTTCAGAGTTTGTGTAGTCTTACTTCTGCAGCAGGCTGAGCTGTCCGTCAGCATGATGAGGCCCATTTATATGCTTCAGCCACACCTAAAAAAAACAAAAAAACAAAACCCATCAATGAATCAAGCTGTCACACCGTAACAGTTTCTATCTAACAGCCGCAGGAGCATCAACAATCCCATCATCCCTCTACAGAAGGATATCTGATACTTTAAAAACGCCTTCCACCAACAACCCACCAATCAGACTCAAAAACAAGGGACAGGTTCCCTAAGGACACACTAGTTACCTTCTCTGACATCACAGTGATAGCACACAGAGAGCATGAGTGTGGGTACATTGACGGCGTTGTTCCGTGGAAGTCCATAGCGTTCTGTTTGGAAGGCATGACGTCGCTGGGCTGGCTGCTGCTCTTAGTGGGCAAAGTCTCAGACCCGCTGCCTCCCCAGAGAGGTTTTAGATGGCTGTCTTCAAGCAGAGGAGGTGGTCTGTAGTCAGCTGGTCCCGGCTGAGAGAATGGGCGACTTGTTCTGTCTCTACCAACAGAGCTGAAAGAAGGTCGTTCCTGAGGGAAGACTTGAACATCTCTTCCAGCCTTACCAAAGTCAGGAGGTCTAAGTCTGTTGTAGTAGTCTTGACTGGAAGCTGGACTAGCGTCTCTGTCTGACCTCCCAAACTGCAGAGGTGCTGGTCTGTGGTGGTAGTCCTGAGAGGTGACCTGACGTCCTTCCCTGCCTGGCTTTATGAATTCAAGGCTTTTGGATTTGTTGCTGTAGTCTTGAGAAGAAACTGGACCGGTATCTCTGCAATTCTTACCATAGTCAGGGGGCGCTGGTCTGTGGTGGAAGTCCACCACGTAACTGGAGGATGTAGATGAAGATGATGACGGTGTTTGTTCTGCTCTCACGGAGCTGAAGGTGATGGGGTTCCCCCAGCGGTCCAGCTCGGGTAGAGGAGGACTGGATTTAACTTGGTCCACCTGATACTGGAGCATCTGGCTGGGGGGGCGGTCCCAGTCGCTGGTGGTGGGCTTAACAATGGGTCGACGGGTGGAGCTGGGGGGATAAGAGGAAGAGGAGGAAGAGGAGGATGGAGCGTTGTGAGCATACTGTCTGACAGTCCCTCTCTTTCCTTTGATCTGTTGGAGGACCTGAGGCAGGGTCTCAACTGTCAGCCGGTCTTCAGGAATCTCAGCCAGCAGAGCCAGGTCGTCCGGCTCCAGACCACAGCTGCTCAGGATGTTGACAGCGCCGTCCCGCGACCACTGAGCGACTCTGGAGGAAGACGACGGGTAGGAGTAGGACTCCTGAGGCGCTTGGTAAATCTGACGGTCTGGAGAGGAGTGACGGCGCCCCGAAGAGACGTAAGAACCAGGATCAGATCTGAGGCCGGAGTCGGGCTGCGGCCGTCTGTACGGGTAGTTGTGAGACATGGCGGCGGCGGCGGCGGAGGAGGAGGGAGGAGAAACGCTCTCAAGGCGTTTTCTGCAGACAGAAGGTGTCAGGGAAGACAGGAAATGAGGTTGAGGATGTTTCATCTTGAGAGAAAGTCATTTGGCTGAGGTGATAAAAACAAAAAAAATGAGGGATACGTGGTGAAGAAGTTAGATGCTTGAATTCAATCAGCTTCTACCAAACATCTTACCAATGTTTGATACAATCCACAGACACCATGCTGATAATATCACACTAATGGGTATTTATTTGTGTTTCTTTAATGGCCAATATGAATATTAACCTGGGCAACACTAGGAAGACCTCCTTACATAAATCACAAGGTAAAAAAAAAAGGTCAGCAGTACGTGTTGTGTTCATGATAGAAGATCTTTTTCAGCAGCTGCTTCTGTTCAAACCCTCTCAATGTTTACATTAGCAACATTAGCTTCCGGCTAGCTGAGGGCTAACAAACAGACGTGTCCAGCATCAGGCTTACCTTAAACTTAATCACACAACTGAACTAAAATAGTCATACGGGCACTTCGCAGGGACAGGGGGTAACATGACACGCCACCAAATACGTTTAACAGCGAAAGAAAATAACCAAAAGTGGTCCTAGTTATGTCGAGCTAACAGGCTAATGGTCCTTCGTCTGCTTCTTCTTCTTCTTCGTCTACTTTATTTTATGTTGCGTGGTAAACAAAGATGACGCTTTACTGCCACCTGCTGGTTAAAGTTGGAGTCGGACGACTTTTTGAAGGGACTTCACGATAGGGCTGGATAATATATCGACTTTTAAAGATATATCGATATATTTTCAAACAATATATAGGATAAGACGATATCGTTTATATCGATAATAACGTTATATAGTTTGTCGCATTAAAATAACGTTACAGAGGTGCCAGGTCACCTTTTTCTCATCTCACTGATGATGACTGACTGTCTGTCCCTCTTCACCCTGCTCCTCCTCTCTCTCTCTCTTTTATTGTATTTTATTTTATAATATTACTTTTTAAATTCACAAACAAGTAGTTTATTTTCCATGTGTTTTCACTGTTAATAAAAAACATATCGATATATATCGAGTATCGCCATTCAGCTAATCAATATCAAGATATGAGTTTTGGTCTATATCGCCCAGCCCTACTTCACGACTGCATATATTGTTGATGTTTTACTGTAAGATCGTGTAACAAACTAAAGTAGAAAAATGAAGTAATATAACGAAGCAAGGAGTTCATTATTAAGTCTGTTTGCTGGATGTGCTACTTGTTATAATGTAGGCCAGGGACGGGCAACTTTGGTCGCAGCAAGGGCCACATTCATTTAATTCTCACAGCCAGGGGGCCAAATTGTAGAATACAAAAACGATAACAGTCAACTATGTCTCAAATTTAACTCAACATATACCAGTGATCAAAAGTTATTATGGAAATATTTCTGGTTTTCATGATTTCATGGCAGATTTTGTCATGTTTTCTTCATGTTTTGATGTATAAATATTGACCCGAGGGCCACATTGAGGGTTGACAAGGGCCGCATGTGGCCCCCGGGCCGCCAGTTACCCACCCCTGATGAAGGCTATCGCTTAAGTGCAAGGTGTTAACCAAAACTTAGGCCAAATTTAATTTTAGTTAATCATAACTTAACATACCTTCTTTACACAGACTCATATTGCATTGTTGTCATTGTGTGAAATCAGCAGTTGGCTAGACATTAAAACAAATATTTTACTCAAGTTTAAAGGATATTTTTTTTACATTTAAAAAAATGTTCTGATTTATTTATGGTAGCCTACTCTTGACAGTGTTCTGTATTTGAAATATGACATCATATATAATGTTTATTTTTCTTGGCTGGACAACTACCAAAAACATGTCTCTTTGCATTGTACTATGTAGGCTACATTGCGTATGTCAGAATAGGAAATTATTTATTCACCCCTTGGGTTGAATTTGGTATGTGACCAATAATTGGGAAAAATTGGGAAAAATCAGAGAAAAAAGTTTCTAATATAGCTGCATTTTCAGTCATTTTGTAATGTATTTCTATAGGCTAGATAATTATTTTACTTCCAGAATAAAATTTGGAAAGTTTAATTTCAGGAGCTGTAGGACTTTTCTCAAACCACATCAAAGACACTGTTTGGTTTTAAAAAGCACCATCAGACATCATGAATGTAAAACTAATCCCTCTGCAGTTTAATAATCTGTCTCTAGCATGAGACCCTGAAGTATAGAAATAATTTGTAATAATTAAAAATGTCCCACTGGTTTGAAAAAGTGTAATTTCATTCAAATGAAACATTGAATCTTTTTATTATGTATTTTTATCTGAAAGCACCAAGCTGTTCTTAAATACTTACTTGCATAGTTTCCTCCTCTCTACAGATCCTTGCTTGTGTTGCACTAACTCTATACATCGCTTTGGACAAAAGTGTCAGCTTAACGAATTGTAAAATTGTATCACATCATACCTGATTGGATCGTATCACACCTATCAAATCCTTTAGTACCATATCCTATTCTCCAGGTTTTTGGACAAACAGGACAGAAGTGTCATGTACAGTATACATGTGTGTGGAGGTTGATTTGGTAGTGGTGTTTTTAGTTACTACAGAGCACAGCAGGTGGAGCCACAGACCACATGTTCAGTTCTTCTGCTTATTCTGGTAAATTATATTTGGTTTGAGGATTTAAAACCAGAAATTACTGTTATCATATATTAGTGTTCAATATGGAATAATTGTGTTCAGATTAATTGTATTTATATTTCTATATTATTCATATTTATTTGTTTCAATATTTTTTTATATTCAAAAAACAAACTGCAAACATTAGATTAGCAGTGTGATGGAAAGATGTTTCACAGTTCAGTCAGGTTAGATTTTTGGAAACATCTTGTTGTCTGTAAATACAGGATCATTTATGTTCATTACAACATGTAAAGAATATGGAAATATTTATTTTAAATAAATCACCACAATATGTCCGACTAAAAGTCTGAACCTGTAAAAATATTAATGAAAATGCTGCATGACAATTATCACATAATAAATCAGCCTCCATTGAGAGCAGGGAATGCAGTTTATTAATCACATCAATTCAAAATAGACATTGCATGAAAAACAATTGAAAGCAAATACCGTTGGAGAATTGTGAGAACATGGAAATAATTCAAAGCAAATAAATGCGTAGAACAGTTAATAATAATACAAACATGAAGATGGTGTTTAGAAGAGACTCATGCAGGAGCTGAATAAAATGTGAGTAAATCATTCACTTTTTACATTAGATATAATTAGATTTAATTTCACTTTCAGAACATGTAATGACAATGAGGAGACTGATAAATGTTTTTTTAAAACTCTTAACATTTTCTTTGCACAGCTTTAGGTCTGAATACAGCAGGCATGTCACCAGTGAACTCCTGATTCATCCTGCAAAAGGTCGTAGTTTACATGCAGTAAACATTTAACAGTGTGTCTATTTGTGTTTGTCTGTTTTGTAACTTATATATGTACACACAGAAAATAAAATCTCATATAGCTGGAAAAATAAATAAAATAAAGTCAGATCAGATGCATACTCATCCGTCTGCACGACTTGTAGGTGTGATATTTGCTTTTATACTTCACAGATTTTATGAAGGTTACTTGGGGTGCAACACTGCTCTAAAACATCTTCTAAATTCACACTCCCATGCCACTCATATAAATAAAAAAAGAATTAACAGCCAAACATAACAACAAGATTGATTAATTTATTAGTAAGATAATACTTGATAGTGACGTTTTACAAAACAACAAATTTAGCCTTAGACTTAAATCAGGTTAAAACTGTTCTGTCTCTTCTTTTAATTGATCAGAATGTATTTCTTTATGTTAATGATTATTTTGTATTTGTGTATTATTTTTGTGTATTTTCAGGTCAATAGAAAAAGTAAGAAAGGAGCATATTGTCGTGCAGAGTAAATGTGGAGTGCTTGACATGTCGACGTGAGGTAAATTTGTCACCAGCTTGTTAGTTGTGAGAATGTGGAGGAGCTGATGACACAGGATTAAAACACATGTCTGTGTCAGATGATGATCAAACACGTCTGCCAAAAAAACAAGAAAACACACTGATTCTGGATCTGTTGTTTCAGCGTACTTAAGGTTTTCATATTTACAAGTATAGAGAATGTTACTTTAAACTCAGATTTTATATCAATGCTTAGTTAGTAGTGCCAACCTGATAATTTAAAACAAACATAAAAATCTTGACTACCAATAATCAATCATTTTTGCTCCAATATATGTTTTTATCTTTAGCTGTTGTTGCTGCTGAAAATCAGACAAACTCTCTTCACTTCAGCTGTTTGGAACTTTATTAAATTTAAATTAAATCTTTTAATATTTCAAGCAATAGATATCTAGAATCTAGAATTGTTTTTTATTGCCAAGTATATTTACACATACAGGCAATTAATTTGACTTTTTGTAAACTATTCAGATGAGTTAATGTGTTTTACTGTAGTTTATCCTCTCTATGGTTCTTGTGCTCTACTTACTCCTGTATGTATGCTAGCTTTTAGTTAGGATATCACAGGATGCTCCCCCCCCCACACACACACACACAGATATTTTTTAAAATCTTTTGCAAAAAACGTTTTTTTTAAACAAAGTATTTGAAATTTCAGATCTTTATGTTATGCTAGCTTTGTGCTCCTTTAGCTGTGTGCGCTGTTAGATTATGACTATTAGCATTGTGCTGTTGTCTTTTTGTTTAGTAGTAGCTTTTTGCTCTATACGGGTTGTGCTCTGATAGCTTTATGTTGTGTGAGAAAATTTGTGCAGGTCATTTTAGATTGTTGCTCGGTTTTGCTTGTAATTTCCCAAAAATATGAGGTCAACAAATGTTACCTGTAGTCGGGCTTATACTCTATCATACATAATAACACGTTGTCTTTTTATCCTGTTACATGTCAGTAAACAGGCTGATCTATATTTTGTTGAAGGACTTGCACAGAATAGAATAGAGTAGCACAGGTAGTCAAAGGACAGGTAATTGATTTTTTTGATTTCTCCAGCCTGCTCTAAAAAAAAGATAGGGGTATAAAAAGCAGAAAATTATAAAAGACCCCCTAAATGAGCAGCAAATAAAAAAGAAAATTGTAATTACAAAAAGCATGCAAGAAGAATATACTGTACAAAAACATGACTTTCTAAAAAATATGAAAGAACACCATTGTGTTCAAGAAATACAAAATAATGGTTTGTGTTTGTCCTGAGAGTTTTGTACATCTATTTGGCCTTTTGCACTTATTATTTTATTTTTTCCAAAGCTGTTATTTTACTTTACATTATTGCACTTTTTGAAAATAGTAATGATTGCACAATGTTGTTGCCTTGTGACGTATCTAGCTCCTGAAGTACCAAAAAGTTATTCTTTTTTTTTCTACTTCGCGAGGACAAGTTATTATCTTGTGA